CCGTATATCATAACACGTGTATTGACTTATAATCATAATAATAGTCAAACGACAACTGCAACAGTTTAGGAGTCGCGTATGGCATAGATGATAGTGTGATGTACGTCAATTCTCTGACAGCTTGGTTCAAAGTTTCAGTACTGGTAATTTTATTGTCATGGTCAGTGATTATGGTAAATTGGTACAATGTGCCCAGCAGCCTTTGTACACGTGATTGAGCTTAACTTACCGTAACAATATTTAAACCTAAATTGGAGTTGGTTAGTTCCATGGGCACAAGCCATTAGTTCCTAGTGGGAAGCCAATAGTGCGAAGTAGGGCGCCAATAGTGCTAAGTAGGGCGCCAATAGTATTAAGTAGGGCACCAATAGTGCTAAGTAGGAGGCCAATAGTACTAGGACTATTTTTCGGTCTACTGAATTGGTGAAACCTATTCCACTACTCACTGAAGCCTTTTCAAAATATACAAACAAAAAACACAAACCATTCAGGAATTTATTTTTCTCTACATTTTGAGCGAAATCTTGGTTCCCTTTCTCTCAACTGTAAATGATATTGGCGTGGTTTGAGACTTGTCGGAGCTGGCGAGGAAGTGCATGAGGATTCCTGGCGGGAAGAGCATGGTAATGTCGCAGCAGAAGTTGCAGGCTTTGCTCGGCGTTTGTTTTGTCTGACGTCGTCGACAACCTTCAGCAACTGGTCGCTTGTCCGTTTGTACCTGTAGGAAGGAACACAGTATTAATCTGTCCTATCAGTATGCACAATGCATGATAACATTCTTCTGAATTTATACATTAGGTTTTAATAATGAAACCCAATACATCTTATCATAACTTTCAAGTTTGGATATTAAATTTTAAAATATTGGTGTGTTTTTCAGCACGTATGAATGAAGCAGCGTGTATATATTAGATAAAATACAAATGAGAGTTACTTACTCTCTGATTGCCGAGGATCTATGTCCGGTTCTTTCGGCGATCAGCTGCTCGTCTATGCGGACTTCGTATAGAAGTGTGGCTGTCGTGACTTTCGAGAGAATGGTTTGTGAAGAATCCCTTAAAGCCAGCCATTTTCGCACAGCCTCTTCACAACGCCAGACAAGGTGTGCCTCCCCACTGCTACTGGAGCAGTACCAAGTGTCAGGCTTGGGGTATTTCAAAGCACCGGACGTAAAATGCGTCGCTCACTTGGTCTGTTCAAGAAAGCAGTAAAAGCGTTTTGTTATAAAGACAGACTCTGTGTTTGAAATTGTCATAAAATAGAGAAAGTGGACTTGCAGCGCTTAAATTCAAAGTATGTTCTAATTCTAAAGCGAAAAGTAAGCGTTTATTAGATTTATTAAGCGAATCAAACCCCACTGTCAACTGGCAGCGAATAGACTTTTAGGGTTTGTTATGCGATTTGTGTGATTAGAAGACCATATCATGATGAGAAGACCATATCATGATCAGTCAGGTAGAAATAATACATTACAACCTTTCTTTGAATGAAAACTTCATACATTACATACAGTACTACGTGAACAGTAAGCATGGATCAACGCCGCTTTGAGCACTATTCCAGCTATATTCACGGTATTATCAGCTAAAAGTGGAAGGAAAGCTCCAAATGTCGAATGTGTCATGCGTGTAGAACTTCCTGGCATGCACAAGGGACGCAACTCTGCATAGCGAACAGTGGCATCTGAGACTACCCTTTCTGTCGTAATCATGCAAGGATTAGAACTTTGTGGGTGCCTTTTCAGCAATAATAGTTGAGAGTTATGCCAACAAACTGATTGGTGAGGGGTATTAAAATACATTGTGCGGTTTATATCACTGCAGTATAACAATAACTATTGTGAGCATGCATTTTCATGGGGGTGTGGAGGTGTGGGGTCTTGAATTGTGAGATGTTGGGGCATGAGGTGTGAGTGAGTTAATATTTACGCGTCACAGCGGCAATATCTCAGGCAAATGGTGACGAGAACAATCTGTACAAATAAATTAATGATAAATTGTAAAACCCTGTCAACAAAGGACAGTAAAATTACAAGAATATCACAGTTATGAGCGTGAAACTAGCATGAAGAAATAAAACATTTCAATTTAGGAACACGTTACAATATAAAACATGGGCTATAGAAGGTTGACCACCATAATTAGGGTCCATGGGGACTTATGTAAGGTGTGAAGATGTTGGGTTGTGGAGGTGCGGGATGTTGAGGTGTGGGGTGTGGGGGATATTACAGTTACACTATATCAGCACAAACCTTAATGACATGTACTTCTCATAAATCCTGACAGGACATCGTTGGGGATTTTCCTTATTTTCTGCAACTACCACACACTTAGGACTTACATTTTTTTGTGTTTCAGACCTCCGTTGTTTGTTTTGTCACACCCTCAGAATATCGTAAATGCTTTTGACCATTCTTCATCACAATGCTGAAATTGCCTCTCTCCCCAGTTTTCAACGAATGATGTTCATCCCACCCGAAGACAAAAGCATATACCATTTATGTAAAACATTGTGTCCAGAAGTTTTTGTGGTGTTTCATCGCCCAGTATCCCCTTCTGCCATAGTAAATCCTCCTGTTCATGCGAGTTATCACGTCAGCTTTAAGCTTATGAATACGATTCCACTCTGGGCCAATGATCTCATTTTTTCGCCTAACATTTTCCTCAGAGGGCAAATTCAAAATCAGCATTGAAGTTTACATCCCTACCGTTTTCGGAGGAAATACTGAATTGACATGAGGATTTCATGAATGGTATTTCCATGGTATTAGCCTCCTTTCTGGTTTTTCACTTCTGTCACAAACAATACCAATTGTTTACATAAATCCTCATCACTTAACTTCAAAAGAGTCTGCCCAAAAGCGCGTAAAATCTGCCCTTTCTTTCCTTGTACCATGAGTCAAATATACGAACGGCCCACTGACATTTTTGTCAGTATTTTTATTTTTAGACATATTTTGTAAATCCATACATTCCTCGTTGGTCAGGGGCTTTCCAAAGCGAGAAGAACTAGTGCAGCTGGAAAATTCTTTTTTCAATTTGTTGTGAAGCGTAGAAAAGCTCTTCATCAGAGGAATCATTGCCTACTTTTATTTCAGATTTGTCAGAGTCATATTCAATATCAAAATCGGGCTTTGCATAGTCTGAATCTATCAGTTCTTGAAACTCAGAGTATCGTCTGTTTCATCAAATGAAATCTCAGCATCTTGTGAGAATTTGGTCTGGGTAAGGAATATTTCTCCATCGGTGTCGCTTCGACATACTCACTGAACGTGTAAATCTCAATGTGGTTGTTGCAACTATCATGCACGTGTACGCCGCCTTATAAAGGTCTCCAATAGTCAGCGATATGCGAGAAATGCACGTCAAGCTTTCGGCTTTTTCACACCACTGTAGCTGCTCTATTTTAAGGCGCCAATATCCAACAACTTGGATAACGGAGTCTTGAATTAGGATTTAAAGTAGAATAGACTCCTCAAACACGACAATAGTTGTGCGAAGTCTAGTCCTCGGCTACCGGCCTCGGACTAAACATCGTGCACAACTATTGTCGTGTTTTCGGAGTCTATTCTATACAGAATGCAATTTTGAATGAAATTAATATTATCATAAAAGATTCGAAGGTAAAGTGAGATATGAGAAAATGTTATAACAGCAATATGTAAAAACAAGATTAACTTTGTAATTAATGGTACAGATTAGTTACCATGGTTACAGTAATGTCTTTTGATTATATGAAACAAGATTGGAACTCATTATCTCTGTGTAACAAGCTCGTCACCACTAAACAGATGTAGCCTTGAAAAGGGATGTGAATTGTACTATAGAAAATATGGTACATATAATGTTTTATCGATCTGACAGATTGGATAATGGCATCACATGACCTCCATTGCAGTGAATAATATACATGTACCTGAACGTGCTGAAGTGCCAGTGTAAGAAGAAATATTTTTAAAAAATTGTGATTATTGTTTGTTTTTTAAAAACAACAACAGAATGTCCAAGATATTTTTATGGATTAAACTTCTTTTTTAATTTCTCTCATAACGTTTCGAGACCATTCCAGGTCCCTTCATCAGGTGAACTCATCAGTTCACCTGATGAAGGGACCTGGAATGGTCTCGAAACGTTGTGAGAGAAATTAAAAAAGAAGTTTAATCCATAAAAATATCTTGGACATCAATGTACAACTTCTAAATGCCAGAATGGACCCAAGAAGTGTGCCTTGTATCATGGATGTATTGTGTGGACCTTGTGTGTATTATGTATGTATCATATAGTTGCTGTGACAACATGACCACTGTCTATTTCCGCATGACGTAGCTGTACTATAGGGTTATGTCCTTCACAATGTGTCTTCCTTCTACCTTCAGCGGTATGTATCATATAGTTGCTGTGACAACATGACCACTGTCTATTTCCGAAGTACGTAGCTGTACTATAGGGTTATGTCCTTCACAATGTGTCTTCCTTCTACCTTCAGCTGTATGTATCATATAGTTACCATGACAACATGACCACTGTCTATTTCCGCATTACGTAGCTGTACTATAGGGTTATGTCCTTCACAATGTGTCTTCCTTCTACCTTCAGCTGTATGTATCATATAGTTACCATGACAACATAACCACTGTCTATTTCCGCGCGCCGTGACGTAGCTGTACTATAGGGTTATGTCCTTCACAATGTGTCTTCCTTCTACCTTCAGCTGGGGGGCGGTGGGGTAGCCTAGCGGTTAAAGCGTTGGCTCGTCACGCCAAAGACCCGGGTTCGAATCCCGACATGGGTACAATGTGTGAAGTCCATTTCTGGTGTCCCCCGCCGTGATGTTGCTGGAATATTGCGAAAAGTGGCGTAAAACCAAACTTAGTCAGTCAGCTACCTTCAGCTGTATGTATCATATAGTTACCATGACAACATAACCACTGTCTATTTCTGCATTACGTAACTGTACTATAGAGTTATGTCCTTCACAATGTCTCTTCCTTCTACCTTCAGCTGTATGGAAGATACACAAGGGAACTTGGTTCTTTTGCCAAATTCACAGCAAAGAGGTTGAGGAAAGAAGCTAAGTTACAAAGAGAGGAAGAAAAACCACCCTCAGGAATATGGATTTACTTGAGTAAGATACACTGTTGTTAGCAGTTGAATGTATGATATACACTGTTGTTAACAGTTGAATGTATGATATACACTGTTGTTAACAGTTGAATGTAAGATATACACTTGTTAACAGTTGAATGTAAGATATACACTGTTGTTAACAGTTGAATGTAAGATATACACTGTTGTTAACAGTTGAATGTAAGATATACACTGTTGTTAACAGTTGAATGTATGATATACACTGTTGTTTACAGTTGAATGTAAGATATACACTGTTGTTAACTGTTGAATGTAAGATATACACTGTTGTTAACAGTTGAATGTAAGATATACACTGTTGTTAACAGTTGAATGTATGATATACACTGTTGTTTACAGTTGAATGTAAGATATACACTGTTGTTAACTGTTGAATGTATGATATACACTGTTGTTAACAGTTGAATGTATGATATACACTGTTGTTAACAGTTGAATGTAAGATATACACTGTTGTTAACAGTTGAATGTATGATATACACTGTTGTTAACAGTTGAATGTAAGATATACACTTGTTAACAGTTGAATGTAAGATATACACTGTTGTTAACAGTTGAATGTAAGATATACACTGTTGTTAACAGTTGAATGTAAGATATACACTATTGTTAACAGTTGAATGTAAGATATACACTGTTGTTTACAGTTGAATGTAAGATATACACTGTTGTTAACTGTTGAATGTAAGATATACACTGTTGTTAACAGTTGAATGTAAGACATACACTGTTGTTAACAGTTGAATGTAAGACATACACTGTTGTTAACAGTTGAATGTAAGACATACACTGTTGTTAACAGTTGAATGTAAGATATACACTGTTGTTAACAGTTGAATGTAAGACATACACTGTTGTTAACAGTTGAATGTAAGATATACACTGTTGTTAACAGTTGAATGTAAGATATACACTGTTGTTAACAGTTGAATGTAAGATATACACTGTTGTTAACAGTTGAATGTAAGATATACACTGTTGTTAACAGTTGAATGTAAGATATACACTGTTGTTAACAGTTGAATGTAAGATATACACTGTTGTTAACAGTTGAATGTAAGATATACACTGTTGTTAACAGTTGAATGTAAGATATACACTGTTGTTAACAGTTGAATGTAAGACATACACACTGTTGTTAACAGTTGAATGTAAGATATACACTGTTGTTAACAGTTGAATGTAAGATATACACTGTTGTTAACAGTTGAATGTAAGACATACACTGTTGTTAACAGTTGAATGTAAGATATACACTGTTGTTAACAGTTGAATGTAAGATATACACTGTTGTTAACAGTTGAATGTAAGACATACACTGTTGTTAACAGTTGAATGTAAGATATACACTGTTGTTAACAGTTGAATGTAAGAAATACAATGATAACAGTTGAATGTTAGATATACTACATTGTTAGCAAGTTGATGTAGTGATACTAGACAAATGTTATGGATAATAACTTTTTTCTTTTTTTTTCTCCCGACGTTTCTGGGCTAGTTCTTGCCCCTTCTTGCCCTTCTGCATCCACCTGAAGAAGGGGCAAGAACTAGCAATGTTGAAAGTTGATTCGGGAGAATGCAAAAAAAAGAAGTTGAATGTAAGATATGCAACATATTAACAGTTGATTGTAAGATATGCAACTTATTAACAGTTGAATGTAAGATATGCAACATATTAACAGTTGATTGTAAGATATGCAACATATTAACAGTTGAATGTAAGATATGCAACATATTAACAGTTGAATGTAAGATATGCAACATATTAACAGTTGATTGTAAGATATGCAACTTATTAACAGTTGAATGTAAGATATGCAACATATTAACAGTTGATTGTAAGATATGCAACATATTAACAGTTGAATGTAAGATATGCAACATATTAACAGTTGATTGTAAGATATGCAACATATTAACAGTTGAATGTAAGATATGCAACATATTAACAGTTGAATGTAAGATATGCAACATATTAACAGTTGATTACAGATATAAGAAACATATTAACAGTTATTGTAAGATAACACATATTAACAGTTGATTGTAAGATATGCAACATATTAACAGTTGATTGTAAGATATGCAACATATTAACAGTTGATTGTAAGATATGCAACATATTAACAGTTGAATGTAAGATATGCAACATATTAACAGTTGATTGTAAGATATGCAACATATTAACAGTTGATTGTAAGATATGCAACATATTAACAGTTGATTGTAAGATATGCAACATATTAACAGTTGAATGTAAGATATGCAACATATTAACAGTTGAATGTAAGATATGCAACATATTAACAGTTGATTGTAAGATATGCAACATATTAACAGTTGAATGTAAGATATGCAACATATTAACAGTTGATTGTAAGAAATGCAACATATTAACAGTTGAATGTAAGATATGCAACATATTAACAGTTGATTGTAAGATATGCAACATTGAAGATATACAGGGTTTTAAGATGTTTAAGATATCCAATTCACCCTGTTGTCTCTGAGTACCATGGCATGTACTCTCTAACTGTGGAATCATGGAGAGAATATTCCTGATTCTGTATGCTGCCTTCTGTTCACCTTTCAGGACGATGTTCAGTTGTGAAAGACTTCATATTCAGGAAGATAGGCGAGGACTGGCTGTTCCTGGCCCTACTGGGTGTTCTCATGGCGTTCCTGAGTTTTTCCATGGATTACGTCATAGAGAAGTGCCAAGAAGGTATGTATGACAACAGTTTGACTTATGTAAATACAATAATGTTTGATATATGTTCAATGCTTCACGAGAATACAAACAATGGATGCTAGTTATATTCGGGGACAGAGATAATGACTGTCTTAGTCTGTTTTTGAAGTACTGTAAACATACTTATTTTCGCGTGGTGCAATTTTCGCGGAATTGACAATTTAGACTACATCGCGCGGTCAATTATTCGCGCAATCAGTAATTGCCGGAACTACCAGCTGTCTCTTTGGCCGCCACTAATAGCAGTGAAAACAAACAGAGTGGCTTAACCTGTCAGGCGGCGTTTATTGCTTACTCACAGGAAATCCCTATCTGTGCGATATACTAGTACACAGTAACCCGTTTACTCCCGGAAGAGATGAAAAACACATCAGTCTTATGTTCCGAATTCTGACGATCTGGCGAATTAACTTATACTGTATATGAAGCTTTTTGTGATTTCAAACAAGCCGGGTTGTTGTGAATGAGATGATTGAGTGTTAAGTGACTATTCGCTTCATGATGATACGTTTGTATCTAAATGAATAAATAAAATACTGCTGTATTATTTCTTTCGAGTCGTTTCATGGTAATCTGTTTTGTATCAAACCATCTGTCATGTGACCAATTTCCATGGCGGCCACAACACACATTGCTGTTTTCGCTAATTCGGCGATGGGATTTGGCTCATTATTTAATTATGTTTTGGGAAATCCATTACAGCGACAGTTAAGTATGATTGTTTATGCTACTATCAGTCGTCATTTTAAGATTCCCGTAGATTTCTGTCTTCAAACTTGATGTGTTATGGTTTATTCGCGGTGCATAAATTTTCGCGCTAAAATGTTTTGCGCGAAAATAAAACCTGCGCGAAATATACTACGTTTACAGTATGTAAAGTATGATGGTTTTAATACGAAGATCACATCCCTGGCTGGTCAGGCAGTTGTGACTCGTGGGGTCATATTGAAGTATATGTCAAATCTCATTAGAGGTGACGAACAGGATCTGGTGGTCAGACTCACTTGGTTTGATGCATCTCATCTTAGTTGCGTACATCGATGCTGATGATGTCAGTCACTGGATTGTCTTGTTCAGACTGGGTTATTTACAAGAGTGCCATCTTAACTTTTTCCATTCGAAGGACGAGATATCGCGTCTGAGGGGTCACAACCCTTCAATACGAGACTATTTTTAGCAACATGACACTTACATACGAGGGACGTGATATCACGTCTCCATGGTTACAACGGTTGACATGGACCATTCATGACTAACATAACATTAAAATCCATATGAACTGAAATGTTTTCCAAACATGTTTATTCACTTTCATTAAACTATTTCAGACAAAAAGAGTAAAAAGTAGGTTGTCTTTAGCACAGAAACATTGGAAATGCAGGGTTTTTTTTGTAATTGTGACAATTTCTTTCAATACAGTGACTACACTACGGTGGAAGAACAACCACAATTTAGTAGATTTATGTCATCACTTAGATGAAACGAGTGTTACCTGTGGTAACAACTATAAGAGCAGTCAACGGTCAAAGAACGGTCAAAGAACATTGCTCTCACAATCAAAGAACATCGTAACAGCTCACAATCACAAATGGCAGATAGAGCTTGGCTTGCAGTCTGAGCTGATCTCAACAACCAGCCATTTAACACTGTATGGTGACTGAATGTCAAGGTCATATGGTTTTGACCAAGGGAGATAATCAAAAAATCCTAAAAATTACACTGTCACAAAGTACACGAATTGCATTCGAAGGGCGAGGATACACGACTAGAAAACAGTGAAATATGTTTACTATGAGTAGATGAGTTATCACGTCCCTTGTATGGAAACATTGTAAAGCATCGGACGTAATATCTCGTCCATCGAATTCAGAGGCTACAGCTGGAAAACTCTGGTCGTATGCAAGGGTTGTAGATGACTGGACATAATATCACGTCCTTAGGATATATGTGCAGCTGTGAAAATATTTTTGCGTATGGGAAGAGTTATAGGGGGAATATTGGTGAGCCAGACTAAACAAAGAAGTATGAGATCTTTCTCTATAACTCTAGGTTGAGTAGACAGAAAGAAACATTTCCTTAATGATGTTGTAGATCACCAAACTTTTGCAACAATGTGTTTTGGACAATTTCACGCCAGTAAAATAAGCTTCATTGGTTGGCAGCTGTTACTACCTGCTACTACTGACTAATTGACCTTTGTTTCAGTGATATCCTTAATGGAAACATAGAACACGGAATTAACAGCTAAGGTTTTTTACAAACTTGACAATGAGATGTGGCACTGTCGTAAAGAGACGTCAGATGTTTGTGACTGTTCAGTTTGCTCCCATGAGCCTCCCATGACGTTTAGAGCCTCCTATGATGTTTAGAGCCTTCCATGATGATTAGAGCTTCCTATGATGTTTAGAGCCTCCCATGGTGTTTAGAGCCTCCCATGATGTTTAGAGCCTCCCATGATGTTTAGAGCCTCCCATGATGTTTAGAGCCTTCCATGATGTTTAGAGCCTTCCATGATGTTTAGAGCCTCCCATGATGTTTAGAGCCTCCCATGATGTTTAGAGCCTCCCATGATGATTAGAGCCTCCCATGATGTTTAGAGCCTCCCATGATGTTTAGAGCCTTCCATGATGTTTAGAGCCTTCCATTAGAGCCTCCCATGATGTTTAGAGCCTCCCATGATGTTTAGAGCCTCCCATGATGTTTAGAGCCTCCCATGATGTTTAGAGCCTCCCATGATGTTTAGAGCCTCCCATGATGATTTAGGGCCTCCCCATGGTGTTTAGGGCCTCCCATGATGTTTAGAGCCTCCCATGGTGTTTAGGGCCTCCCATGATGTTTAGAGCCTCCCATGATGTTTAGAGCCTCCCATGATGTTTAGAGCCTCCCATGATGTTTAGAGCCTCCCATGATGTTTAGAGCCTCCCATGATGTTTAGAGCCTCCCATGTTAGAGCCTCCCATGATGTTTAGAGCCCCCATGATGTGTTTAGGGCCTCCCATGATGTTTAGAGCCCCCCATGATGTTTAGGGCCTCCCATGATGTTTAGAGCCTCCCATGAGCCTCCCATGATGTTTAGAAGCGTCCCATGATGTTTAGGGCCTCCCATGATGTTTAGAGCCTCCCATGATGTTTAGAGCCTCCCCATGTTTAGAGCCTCCCATGATGTTTAGGAGCCTCCCATGATGTTTAGAGCCTCCCATGATGTTTAGAGCCTCCCATGATGTTTAGAGCCTCCCATGATGTTTAGAGCCTCCCATGATGGCCTCCCATGATGTTTAGAGCCTCCCATGATGTTTAGAGCCTCCCATGATGTTTAGAGCCTCCCATGATGTTTAGAGCCTCCCATGATGTTTAGAGCCTCCCATGATGTTTAGGGCCTCCCATGATGTTTAGAGCCTCCCATGATGTTTAGAGCCTCCCATGATGTTTAGAGCCTCCCATGATGTTTAGAGCCTCCCATGATGTTTAGAGCCTCCCATGATGTTTAGAGCCTCCCATGATGTTTAGAGCCTCCCATGATGTTTAGGGCCTCCCATGATGTTTAGAGCCTCCCATGATGTTTAGAGCCTCATGATGTTTAGAGCCCCCATGATGTTTAGAGCCTCCATGATGTTTAGAGCCTCCCATGATGTTTAGAGCCTTAGAGCCTCCCCCGTGATGTTTAGAGCCTCCCATGATGATTAGAGCCTCCCATTAGAGCCTCCCATGATCTTTAGAGCCTCCCATGATCTTTAGAGCCTCCCATGATCTTTAGAGCCTCCCATGATCTTTAGAGCCTCCCATGATCTTTAGAGCCTCCCATGATCTTTAGAGCCTCCCATGATCTTTAGAGCCTCCCATGATCTTTAGAGCCTCCCATGATCTTTAGAGCCTCCCATGATCTTTAGAGCCTCCCATGATCTTTAGAGCCTCCCATGATCTTTAGAGCCTCCCATGATCTTTAGAGCCTCCCATGATCTTTAGAGCCTCCCATGATCTTTAGAGCCTCCCATGATCTTTAGAGTCTCCCATGATCGTTTGAGCCTCCCATTAGAGCCTTCCATGATGTTTAGAGCCTTCCATGATGTTTAGAGCCCTCCATGATGTTTAGAGCCTTCCATGATGTTTAGAGCCCTCCATGATGTTTAGAGCCCTCCATGATGTTTAGAGCCTGCTGTGATGTTTAGAGCCCTCCATGATGTTTAGAGCCTTCCATGATGTTTAGAGCCTCCCGTGATGTTTGTCCTGTGTATGTTTCAGCCAAGTTCTGGCTCTACAAGGAGCTGGAGTTCTCCATCGCACTGCAATACTTCGCATGGATCTCCTACTCTGTGCTTTTTATTTTATTTGCCACGGGCTTCACACACCTCGTCTCACCTCAAGCTGTGGGTAAGGAAATAATTTGTTATCTATATTCAACATACTACTGTAAATGGAGATTGCAAGGCAGAGAAATGCTTCACTAAGGTGTTTAAGTGCCTTATGTGTGAACACCTGGTGTTATCTAACCCATATCTTACTTCCTAACTTGTTGGTGTCTGCTTCTTGTAGCTCTTTACGTAGGGATGATACCTAGGACAACAAGCTCTACAGTTTAAGTCTGTCAGATCACATCCACTCTAAGAGTTATGCCTGCGGTGCGGTAGCCAAGTGGTTAAAGCATTCACTCTTCATGCCGAAGACCCGGGTTCGATTCCCCACATGGGTACAATGTGTGAAGCCCATTTTTGGTGTCCCCATAGAGATATTGCTGGAATATTGCTAAAAGCGGCATAGAACCATACTCACTTACTCACTCACTCTAAGAGTTATGTTTGCTGCCAATGTGAACACAGCTATTTAATTACTTATACCTGGCTCTGTTTGAAGGTTGTGTCTAACTGTTTCTACACATCTTTACATACTAGGATGCCAGTGATGTCTTGTATTTAGTGTTCTGTGAAATTATGCATTTTTTGTGGATTCCTCATTTCTTGTAAAAGGACCATCAGTTTTGTATCTGAAATGCATTGATTTGTTTCTGTGCGAAATGCCTTGTTCAGTGTTGTCTGAAATGCTTTGTTTTGTGTGAATGGCTTGTTCTGAGTGAAAAGTGTTATTTTCATATGTGAAATGCATTGTTTTGTTTTTGTGTGAAATTCCTTGTTCTGTGTGAAATGACTTTTTTGTGGGTTTTTTTTATGCCTTGTTTTGAGAAATGCCTTGCTGTGTGTAGTCTGAAATGCTTGTTTTGAGAAATGCCTTGCTGGGTGTAGTCTGAAATGCTTGTTTTGAGAAATGCCTTGTTGTGTTGTCTGAAATGCTTGTTTTGAGAAATGCCTTGCTGCATGTAGTCTGAAATGCTTGTTTTGTGTGAATGCCTTGTTTTGAGAAATGCCTTGCTGTGTGTAGTCTGAAATGCTTGTTTTGAGAAAAGCCTTGCTGGGTGTAGTCTGAAATGCTTGTTTTGTGTGAATGCTTTGTTTTAAGAAATGCCTTGCTGCGTGTAGTCTGAAATGCTTGTTTTGAGAAAAGCCTTGCTGGGTGTAGTCTGAAATGCTTGTTTTGTGTGAATGCTTTGTTTTAAGAAATGCCTTGCTGCGTGTAGTCTGAAATGCTTGTTTTGAGAAAAGCCTTGCTGCATGTAGTCTGAAATGCTTGTTTTGTGTGAATGCTTTGTTTTCAGAAATGCCTTGCTGTGTGTAGTCTGAAATGCTTGTTTTGAGAAAAGCCTTGCTGGGTGTAGTCTGAAATGCTTGTTTTGTGTGAATGCTTTGTTTTAAGAAATGCCTTGCTGCGTGTAGTCTGAAATGCTTGTTTTGTGTGAATGCCTTGTTTTGAGAAATGCCTTGCTGTGTGTAGTCTGAAATGCTTGTTTTGTGTGAATGCCTTGTTTTGAGAAATGCCTTGCTGTGTGTAGTCTGAAATGCTTGTTTTGAGAAATGCCTTGCTGTGTGTAGTCTGAAATGCTTGTTCTGTGTTCTGTGAAATGTCTTGTTCCATGTTGTTTTGTCTTGATTTTCTATTGGTTTTAAAACCTTATTTTCTGGCTGTAGGGTCTGGTATTCCCGAGATGAAGACTATATTGAGAGGAGTGGTACTTAAAGAATACCTCACATTTCGAACATTGATTGCCAAAGTTATAGGCCTGTGTTCATCACTGGGCAGCACTCTGCCACTGGGGAAGGAGGTGAGTATATTGGAGACAGTGAGATGATGATCTGTAGGTTAAACTAAGGCCAAGACTAAGTCAGTGATGCTGTATTGAGCACCCTGGGTACTCAGGGGTATGATAACTAATCACGATAATTTGATCGAATACTCCAACGCAATCATAGCCATATGTCGGCTGTCATTATACAGTTTAATCTTGTCATCAGATGCCCTTTTTACTGCGAACTGTGTCTGAACTAGTTTTGAGGTAAACCCTGTTCTCATGCGTAATCCAAATGCCCACACCCCAGGCAGAAAATAGTTCTTTCCTGTGTTTGTGGAAATAAATATGACAAATGGTTTTATCAGTTCAGTACAAATTTGGATATGTTATCACACCGTAACTTTGAGATCGTCTTCAAAACAAAGATAGTGATAGGATGATGGCAGTTGCTATGAAGATTGAATGTTAACGAAGGTACCGGTAGGTAGTTAGCTGACATATTGAGGGACATGGGTTCTACCTATCCCGGGGCCGTGGGGTAGCCCAGTGGTTAAAGCGTTGGCTCGTCATGCCGAAGACCCGGGTTTGAATCCCCACATGGGTACAATTTGTGAAGCCCATTTCTGGTGTCCCCGCCGTGATGTTGCTGGAATATTGCTAAAAGCGGCGTAAAACCAAAATTCAGTCAGTCAGTCAGTCTACCTCTCCCTACCTCTGATCAGGTCTTCTTCAGAAGCAGTGGCACGATAATGGAGACCGTTTTCATCAGCTCTCATCCACTTACGAGCTTTCCTCTCAGCCATTGCCAGCATGGCTTGATTGTCTGTCCACTATCCATAATAAATTATATTTATATATGCGTAATATGTTATATTTCCTCCTTTATGCGTGGGAGCTGTGGGATAGCCTAGTGTTTAAAGTGTTCACTCATCACACCGAAGGCCCAGGTTCAATACCCCACATGGGTAAAAAGTGTAAAGCCCATTCTTGGTGTCCCCTGCTGTGTTGCTGGAATATTGCTAAAAGCGGCGTAAAACCGCACTCACTCACTCACTCACTCACTCACTCACTCACTCACTCACTCACTCACTCACTCACTCACTCACTCACTCACTCACTCACTCACTCACTCACTCACTCACTCACTCACTCACTCACTCACTCACTCACTCACTCACTCACTCATTTATGAATGCACAAGAACGCAATAACTTTCAGATCCCTACCAAGAATATATTGCCAAAAATCAACATTTGACCTGATCAGGTAAACATAGTTCTCTATCCCTGCTCTGATCAGAACTTAATGTTGTTATCCTGACAGGCTACCGTCTCCCATATGATCTGAAATATTACATCACTGCTGCTTCACAGAACAGAAAGCACAGAACACGACTCCAAGGCTGGATAGTTCAAGACCACTGTATGAGATCACATTCCACCAAGTTGTCAACACTGTATGAGATCACATTCCACCAAGTTGTCAACACTGTATGAGATCACATTCCACCAAGTTGTCAACACTGTATGAGATCACATTCCACCAAGTTCTCAACACTGTATGAGATCACATTCCACCAAGTTCTCAACACTGTATGAGATCACATTCCACCAAGTTTCAACACTGTATGAGATCAACACTGTATGAGATCACATTCCACCAAGTTGTCAACACTGTATCACATTCCACCAAGTTGTCAACACTGATCACATTCCACCAAGTTGTCAACACTGTATGAGACATTCCACCAAGTTCTCAACACTGTATGAGATCACATTCCACCAAGTTGTCAACACTGTATGAGATCACATTCCACCAAGTTCTCAACACTGTATGAGATCACATTCCATCAAGTTCTCAACACTGTATGAGATCACATTCCATCAAGTTCTCAACACTGTATGAGATCACATTCCACCAAGTTCTCAACACTGTATGAGATCACATTCCACCAAGTTATCAACACTGTATGAGATCACATTCCACCAAGTTCTCAACACTATGAGATCACATTCAACCAAGTTGTCAACACTGTATGAGATCACATTCCACCATGTTGTCAACACTGTATGAGATCACATTCCACCAAGTTCTCAACACTGTATGAGATCACATTCCACCAAGTTCTCAACACTGTATGAGATCACATTCCACCAAGTTCTCAACACTGTATGAGATCACATTCCACCAAGTTCTCAACACTGTATGAGATCACATTCCATCAAGTTCTCAACACTGTATGAGATCACATTCCATCAAGTTCTCAACACTGTATGAGATCACATTCCACCAAGTTCTCAACACTGTATGAGATCACATTCCACCAAGTTCTCAACACTATGAGATCACATTCAACCAAGTTCTCAACACTGACATTGGATAGATTCAAAACATGAAATCTAGAGTGTAGCATCAAGTCTGGCTACATGGAACTTGGACTCCATGTAAACTCTCTGTATAGAAGCCAACAGATAGTTATTAGTACAAGATGATAACTGTCTTTCTCTTTTCAGGGTCCCTTTGTCCATATAGCCAGTATTGTGGCCACTCTACTCAGTAAAATGATTCTCTCCTTCAGAGGGATATTTGAGGTACGTGGAACTTGTATATAGACAGGGGTGGAAATAACCCATTGCCCGACGTCTGAGTCCAGTGTTTTTTTCTGTCGGGCAAGCAAATTTGTATATCACACTGTACCGGTGTCCAGTTGACTTTCCAATGTTAATTATGTTGTTTATTTAAAAAATCAGCAGGAAAACGGTCGGTATAGTGGAAAAGTTATCAGGGCAAGTGACATTTCATGTGCCACTGTACCGGAGTACACTATCAATTTTAAAGTTATTTCCACCCCTGATAGATCAAACAATGATATATCAGCAAATATGGATTGTGTTAGATTGAATTATAAATCTTACTGTGTTTATTAATGAATTATGATATGCAATATTTCATGTTCATAAGAATTCATTTCAAACTTTTAAGATATACAATGATAAATATGCTTTTTGTTTAAAAGATTTTACTTTGGGTTGACATGTCAACTTCTTGCACAAGTTGATGCAGCTATTTTGTCTGGTGTGTTTGACAACTAAGACAAATGGAGGTAAGACGCTCCATGAATTCCCTGTGCTTGCAGTATTCATGTGTGTTCATATTTTCAGAATGAATCTCGGCGGTCGGAGATGTTGGCTGCAGCGTGTGCTGTGGGTGTGGCAGGAACCTTCGCTGCCCCCATCGGAGGTAAGCGTGTCGGGATGAACATGAGTTGAAGTAAAGGAGGAGCTGACACACAATAGAGAGATTTAATCAGCCATTATTAAGTGACAGACAGGCTTTCTCAAAGGCCGAGATATGTGTTAGAATTGATCTTCAGTAACCCATGCTTGTCGCAAGAGGCGACTAACGGGATCGGGTGGTCAGGCTTGCTGACTTGGTTGACACGTGTCATCGGTTCCCAGTTGTGTAGATCAATGCTCATGCTGTTGATCACTGGATTGTCTGGTCCAGACTCGATTATTTCAGACCACCGCCATATAGCTGGAATATTGCTGAGTGTGGCGTAAAACTAAACTCACTCCCTCATAGGCCAAGTTGAAGGTATATTGAATCACTGTTCATAAAATTGCTCTTTCTGTAACAATAAAAACTTCAAGATTCATTTTATGAGAAATTGAGTGCTGAAATGTCTCAGAGTTAAGTTGTTGTTTTTCACAACTTACCAAGCTGATTTACCTGCCTGAAGATCCCAGACAAATACCTGTAACAGTTGTTAGTAAGTTGTTCTCTTAAAGATATTCCTTTGGACCTGAAACTGGATGTATACAGTTTAGATCTGTTTCGACAGGTGTGCTGTTCAGTATTGAAGTAACAGCGACCTATTTCGCCGTGAGGAACTACTGGCGCTGATTCTTCTCGGCCGTCTGTGGAGCCCTCGTGTTCCGGCTGCTAGCTCTGTGGTTCAAAGATGAAGGTGAGGAGGGATCCATCTATCTGGTTACACTAGGCTCCGTGAAACACTTCACCAGAAATCCTCCCTTCCGGACAATAGTCATTGAAGATGAATATTACTATTTAAACCCTGGACATCTCTTTGAGGGGCGGTGGGGTAGCCTAGTGGTTAAAGCATTTGCTTGTCTTACTGAAGACCCGGGTTTGTTTCCACACATGTTGACAGTATGTGAAGCCCATTTCTGGTGTCCCCTGCTGTGATATTGCTGGAATATTGCTAATAGTGGCATAAAACCATACTCACTCACTTACTTTCTTCCATCCTTCTAATTTTGTACATGAAAGTCACTCTGCTACATCTGGCCAGGCTTCTTGTGGTTGATTGTCAAATCTTGATAAGGTCAGGTATCAAATCTGAGTAACAGATCTGACTTTGCTGAGATTTGCGCATGTCAGGATACACCATTTGATACAGTGTCTAGACCTCATTCACCATCATTTCTGCTTTATCCCTCATCAGTGGACAGGAATGGTAAAATCAAAGTACATATTACCCTGAAGTTGTTTTGTTGTCACCCGCCCTAACGCGGAATGGAGGACTATGTATTCAGCAGTGTCTGTCCGTCCGCCGTTTTTTGTTAACGCGATATCTCATGGACTGTTGTACCCAATGTCTTCAAATTGGTGACAGCCTACATTGGGGGATTACGCAGACACCAGTTGATTTTGGTGACCTTGACCTTATCATTAAGGTCACCACGACACTTTGACCACTTTTCAAAGTCTTCTTAACGCCATATCTCATGAACTGTTGTTTCCAATGTCTTCAAATTTGGTGACAGTCTACATTGGGGGATTACCCAGACACCAGTGGATTTTGGTGACCTTGACCATATCCTCAAGGTCACCATGACACTGACCACTTTTCAAACTCTTGATAAAGTGATATCTCATGGACTGTGGTATCCAATATCTTCAAATTTGGTGGCAGCCTACATTGGGGGATTACGCAGACACCAGTTGATTTTGGTGACCTTGACCTTATCTTTAAGGTCACCATGACACTTTGACCACTTTTCAAACTTATTTAAATGCGATATCTCATAAACCATTGCACCTAATGTTTTCAAGTATGTTGACAGCCTACATTGGGTGATTATGCAGACACCATTTCAGGCATCTTGCATGTGACCAAAAAATAAAAAGTAGTAAATATAGATATTCCATTCTTTAGCGGCGGGGGACATTGCCATATCAGTGGCAAACACTTGTTTGATATATAATTATTGGATTATCCTTAAAAGTCATCATAATGTTTTTCTTTTCAGAAACAATTACTGCCGTTTTCAGGACTAGTTTACGTACAGAGTTTCCTTTTGATGCGTTGGAGTTGATTGCTTTTGCTGCAATAGGGTAGGTGGCCATTGTGGTGGACTCATTACAGTTTATTTAGACACGTTGCTTTATGTGGGCAGTCTACAGGACAAGTACAAACATCAGAGGTCACTGCATGGAAAGTCCATGTCTGTGATCATTCAGGGCGGTGGGGTATCCTAGTGGTTAAAGCGTTGGCTCGTCACGCCGAAGATCCGGGGTTCCATTCCCCACATGGATGCAATGTGTGAAGTCCATTTCTGGTGTCCCCCGCCGTGATATTGCTGGAATATTGCTAAAAGTGGTGTAAAACTAAACTCACTCACTCACTCTGATCATTCACACATTACAAACTATGGCAAATTATGGCATGAAATCTCTGTTGCCATGCCAGAATTATGAAACAAACTACCTCTGTGTATAAATCATGTTCAGTTGAAGCCATGTTCAAATCGACCGCCTCCATGGTGTAGTGGTTAGAGCGTCCACCCGGAGAGCGGAAGGTCGCGGGTTCGATCCCCGACCGCGTCATACCAAAAGACGTTAAAATATGGTACTTGTTGGTCCCTGCCTGGCGCTCGGCATTAATGGGTACAACAAGGACTGGTCGGCTTGGAGTCAGTATAATGTGTCTGAGTGGGGTATTCATGCTTCACTGCGGCATGGTACCTCAGTGGGTTAGCACTATAAAACCAGCTTAAGTCTGGGCTAGTACAAGCAGCATGGTACATACACACACATGCATGCGATCGTCATATGAGCGAAATATTCTCAAGCACGACGTAAAATCCAATTTCACCTCACCTCACCATGTTCAAATCTGCTATCACCTCATCTGAAACTGATCATTATAAGTTGTTCACTGGTCTGGAGGGGGACATGGGTTGATTTACCCTCGATGTTTGTTTATGTTCCCTGAGCTTCTTTTAGGGGAACATAAACAAACATCGAGGGTACATCAACCCATGTCCCCCTCCAGACCAGTGAACAACTTATAATGATCAGTTTCAGATGAGGTGATAGCAGATTTGAACATGGTGAGGTGAGGTGAAATTGGATTTTACGTCGTGCTTGAGAATATTTCGCTCATATGACGACGTGCATGCGTGTGTATGTGTATGTGCGGCTGCTTGTACTAGCCCAGACTTAAGCTGGTTTTATAGTGCTAGCCCACTGAGGTACCATGCCGCAGAGGGACCAGTGAACAGTGTATTTATCTTACTGAACACCTCAATGGTAATTCTGAACTGTTCAAAGCACGGGTATCAGATCATAGTACCAGACGATAAGACGACAAGAAAAACAAATTTAGAGTTTATCTCCCTTCCATCGATTTGCATTCGTAAAACATCAGTAATTTCCGTACATCATACGTGATTCAATATAATTCGAGATAAAGAATTGCTACTACGAAGTAGCAAATGAGTTGGGCATTCCCAGCTGGGTACATAGAAAATGTTACTCGCTTGTAAGCGGGGTACATTGAAAATAATGGAAGAGAGCTCAGCCTATCAGAAAACGACATTTATGTGTGAGGCAAGATAATATATCATGAACTGACTGGCACTTTGAGCTTGCACAACATGTATTTTGTGTGTTTGTTGTTTAATGCCACACTCAGCAATATTCCAGCCATGTGGCGGCGGTCTGTAAATAATCGATTCTGGATGAGACAATCCAGTGATCAACAGCATGAGCATCAACTGGGATATGATGACATGTGTCGTTCAAGTCAGCAAGCCTGCCCATGCGATCCCATCAGTTGTCTCTAATGACAAGCGTGGGTTGTTGAAGACCAATTTTTACCCAGATCTTCATGCGTCACAACATGTCTTGATGCTGGCACTCTATAAAGACACATTTGTAGTATCAAAGAACATAAACACATTATGTGTTACTGCTGGTAAGAGCTATGTAGCCTTGTAACATTGTATTGATGTCAGTGTTTGATTTTCACCAGAGCATAGTTCAAACTTGATGATTCTGCAGTTCATATTCTTCTTCTGTATTTCAGAGTTGCCTGTGGATTCGGAGGCGCATTGTTTATTTTAATGCACAGAAAGATAATCTTATTGATGAGAAGACATAAGAGAATATCTTTATTTTTACAGAAAAAGTAAGTGCTTGTCATTCTGCTTCGACATTGCTAGAGGTACTATTTTTCTTTAGGTTTGAACTGTATTCTTATAAAATAATTATGTTTAGTGTAAACTTGAACTGCCTCCCTGTGCCTCATGTGTTGGGTGTCTGTGCATCACATGTTCTGGGACACTTGTGTCTGTGTATCACGTGTTCGGGGACACCTGTGTCTGTGTATCATGTTCGGGACACCTGTGTCCGTGCATCACATGTTCTGGGACACCTGTGTCCTGTGCATCACATGTTCTGGGACACCTGTGTCTGTGCATCACATGTTCTGGGACACCTGTGTCTGTGCATCACATGTTCTGGACACCTGTGTTTGTGAATCATATGTTCTGGGAAACCTGTGTCTGTGTATTCCGTGTTTTGGGACAACTGTCTGTGTATGACATGTTCTGGGACACCTGTGTCCATACATCACATGTTCTGAGACACCTATGTCTGTGCATCATGTTCTAGGACACCTTTGTCTGTGCATCACATGTTCTGGGACACCTGTGTCTGTGAATCATGTTCTGGGACACCTGTCTGTGTATCACATGCTCTGGACACCTGTGTCCATGCATCACATATTCTGGGACACCTGTGTCTGTGCATCACATGTTCTGAGACACCTGTGTCTGTGCATCACATGTTATGGGACACCTGTGTCTCTGTATCATATGTTCTGGGACACCTGTGTCTGTGAATCATGTTCTGTGACACCTGTGTCTGTGCATCAGATGTTCTAGGACACCTGTGTCTGTGCATCACATGTTCTGTGACACCTGGGTCTGTGAAACATATGTTCTGTGACACTTGTGTCTGTGAATCATATGTTCTGTGACACTTGTGTCTGTGAATCATATGTTTTGGGACACCTGTGTCTGTGTATCCCATGTTCAGGTACACCTGAGTCTGTGCATCACATATTCTGTGACACCTGTGTCTGTGCATCACATGTTCTGTGACACCTGTGTCTGTGAATCATATGTTTTGGGACACCTGTGTGTGTATCACATGTTCTGGGACACCTGTGTCCATGCATCACATCTTCTCAGACACCTGTATCTGTGAATCATGTTCTGGGACACCTGTCTGTGTATCACGTGCTCTGGACACCTGTGTCCATCCATCACATATTCTGGGACACCTGTGTCTGTGTATCATGTTCTGGGACACCTGTGTCTGTGCATCGCATGTTCTGGGACACCTGGGTCTGTGAATCATATGTTTTGGGACACCTGTGTGTGTATCACATGTTCTGGGACACCTGGGTCTGTGCATCAGATGTTCTGGGACACTTGTGTCCGTGCATCAGATGTTCTGGGACACCTGTGTCTGTGCATCAGATGTTCTAGGACACCTGTGTGTGCATCACATGTTCTGGGACACCTGTGTCAATGCATCGCATGTTTTGGGACACCTGTATCTGTGAATCATGTCCTGTGACACCTGTGTCTGTGAATCCTGTTCTGAGACACCTGTGTCTGTGGATCATGTGTTCTGGGACACCTGCTCATCACATGTTCTGGGATATGATAAGGCAGTTAACATAACCTAGTGGTTATGCCACACACTGACTTAGCCCAAGTCATTATCCCCAGAATGGCACAGTGTTAAACCAAGGTGTCCCAACTGAGTTCTGGAATATTGCCCAAACCCCACTGACTATGCAAATGTCACTAAGAACACAATGCACAATACACAGAACAGATACAATGAGGCCCTCTCCCCTTGTGTAGATTCACTGATCTTCCATTGTATCTAGTTCACTGCTCCAGGCCTGCAGGTAGAACCATGTTGAATGCCATGTTATACATGTTCTACATGTTCTACATGTTCAGAGCAAATATTGTTTTTACAGTTTACATCCCTTGAGGCTGTGTGTTATTTGTACAGCTGTTGTTATGGTTACGGACAGCTACAAGTGTACTCTGTGATGAAGTAGATACTGCCTGGGGCTGTTGGACACTTTGATTGTGGCAGGGAGGTCATGAATAACAATATGTTGACTGAAGGGGTTTTATTTGAAACCTGCAGATTTGACTGCGTGATTAACAGGCCCTAGGGTCATGTCAGTGTGTAAGTGTTGTGTTAATGGTGGTGACTCATCTGTAGTTGTCATCTGTTGTCATCTATCCATAGTTTACATTTGTTGTCCTTGTTGGTTTGACTTCCTTTGAAGCACTCACAGTGTGTGAGTCAGCAGAGTTCAAATGAACGTTTGTTCAGTCTGTCCAACAAAACATCAGATCTCTATACTTTTTTTTATACATTTTTCTATTCTGTCAATTGCTTCAGCTCAAGTCAAATCACAAAGACTGACCTTAGTTTTGAAAACCATTAATTGAGGCCACCTTTTTATGTGTTAAATATCCATGTAGCATGTGTAGACAAGGTGACCAGTTTCAGCCAGATTAGATGTCTAGATTTGTCAGCACCATCATCTAGGGTTTTACCAAAGTGGTTAACATCTAGGACTCTCGTCAGAACTCAAAATAAATTACAGGTCAAATTAAACTAGCATTAAACCAAACCCTCTCACTCCCTCACTCACTTGTAATTTGAAAATTCTTACTGTCACTTGTATTTTGTCACTCGTGTTTTTTTTGTATCTGCCGTGACACCCGATTCCTCTGTCCACAGTCGATTTATCTACCCGGGGCTGGTGGCTCTGGTGATCTCATCTCTGACATTCCCTCCAGGCCTCGGTCAGTTCTTCGCTGGACACGTGAGTTCTTGGTTATCTCATCTATGTCATCAGTGTTCGACCGCCTCTGTGGTGTAGTGGTTCACCTCACCTCACCTCATCAGTGTTCCTCAGGTTTCAGTTGCCAGCCGACTATGAAATATCTGATTCTGTTTCTTTTATATATACATCATATAATTTCATTTTGATGTCTTTCTATTCGATAATCATAATTGAGTGTATCATGTTAAACAGACACTGATAACAGGTAACACTTCCAAAGCCTTTTTGCAATAATTCCAGGCTGTATAAATATGAACCTCAAAGTGTGTAGGTAATTCCTAAAATAAACATAGAGATCCTGCGGATCAATTATCTTGTCCGTCAGATGTTCATCTATGGGGTGTACATATTGCTAAGATCCATGTAATGTAGGACTACCTTGGTCCAGCAAACCGGTCTGTGTTCATATAGGAATATGGTTAATACATGTTTATATCTACTGTGCAGCTGACCAATCGTCAAGCAATCAACGAGTTGTTCAGCAACATCACCTGGACAACGGGGCAGGCGGAGGACTTGGACGATGAAGCCATCCTGCAGCACTGGCGCCACCCACAGACCAACATCTACGTCACTCTGGTGCTCTTCATCATCATGACAGTGAGTACTGACATCAAACACCTCCAGCGGGACACCGCAGTATGGAGAGTATGACCGTAGTATGGATGTCATGACAAGCTCCACAGAATATTCTGGGTCCCATGAATGATTCACTTGGAACATTAGAGTCAGTCATATGTTACAAGCCTCACTTCCCCGAAACAATTGGGCGGTGGGGTAGCCTAATGGTTAAAGCGTTGGCTCGTCACGCCGAAGACCCGGGTTCGAATCCCCACATGGGTACAATGTGTGAAGCCCATTTCTGGTGTCCCCTGCCGTGATGTTGCTGGAATATTGCTAAAAGCGGTGTAAAACCAAACTTAGTCAGTCCCCGAAACAATTTGTGAGTAGCCTTGTGGAGATTTCATGGACAACCAGGTACATGATGAGACAACAGGCATCAGGTGGTCTAGCTGATTGTGTGTCGTCGTGACCTAGCCATGGATTGTTGTTCATGCTTTCAGCCACTGGGTGACCTGGTTCAGACTTTACGTGTGTCAAGTATGGCTGACTGTGGCATTAGATAGCATTCACTCAGTATGTATTTTGATTAACTGTATGTTAATACCTGTTCTACCTTAGGGTATAGCTGATTGATATCAATCAGATGTTTTGCAAGTTTCTTGATATCCTCAGCTACCATAGCCATGACTGAATGGCATTTCTTCTTGAAGACACAAACCTGACCTTTATGTAACATTGCTAAAACTGTCCTGATCTGCTTTCAGTTCCAGATGGGGGTGTTCTCAAACACTCTCCCCATTCCTGCAGGAATATTTGTGCCAGTCTTCACTGTAGGTAAGTGAAATATGTATCACCCTCAAACATAGTCATTCCTGTAAGACTGGCCCATGAAGGTCCGGGTTAGAATATTGATCTTCAATAACCCATGCTTGTCGTAAGAGGCAACTAACGGGATCGGGTGGTCAGGTTCGCTGACTTGGTTGACACATGTCATTGGTTCCCAGTTTTGCATATCGATGTTCATGCCGTTGATCAGTGGATTGTCAGGTCCTGACTTGATTATTTACAGATTGCCGCCATATAGCTGGAATATTGCTGTGCGCAGCGTAAAACTAATCTCACTCACTCACTCACTCCTCTAAGACTGACACATACTTTCAGTACTTGCCTTGACTCCTCTTTCTGGGACGTATTTGCTGGGTGGACCATGTGTGGCGACCATGTTCAGTGTTTGCTTATATTGGTCACCTACGTTGTGTTTGATAATCTGAGAAGTAACATCTTTGTGGTTGTGTTGTGAAAGCATGACAACATCTGTGTGTTTTTGCTGGATTATAACTCCACTTCCCGTGGTCTAGGTGCCGCATTCGGTCGTCTGGTGGGAGAAAGTATGGCTGCCTGGTTTCCCGGAGGCATCAAATCCGGAGATGTGCTGAGGAAAATAGTACCTGGAGGTTACGCTGTTGTAGGTAGGTAAATAGTACCTGGAGGTTACGCTGTTGGAGGTAGGTAAATAGTACCTGGAGGTTACGCTGTTGTAGGTATGGAAGTTACACTGTTGTAGGTAGGTAAATAGTACCTGGAGGTTACGCTGTTGGAGGTAGGTAAATAGTACCTGGAGGTTACGCTGTTGGAGGTAGGTAAATAGTACCTGGAGGTTACGCTGTTGTAGGTAGGTAAATAGCACCTGGAGGTTCAGGCACGCTGTTGGAGGTAGGTAAATAGTACCTGGAGGTTCACGGCTGTTGTAGGTAGGTAGGCAAATAGCACCTGGAGGTTACGCTGTTGTAGGTAGGTAAATAGTACCTGGAGGTTACGCTGTTGTAGGTAGGTAAATAGTACCTGGAGGTTACGCTGTTGTAGGTAGGTAAATAGTACCTGGAGGTTATGCTGTTGGAGGTAGGTAAATAGTACCTGGAGGTTACGCTGTTGGAGGTAGGTAAATAGTACCTGGAGGTTACGCTGTTGTAGGTAGGTAAATAGTACCTGGAGGTTACGCTGTTGTAGGTAGGTAAATAGCACCTGGAGGTTGCTGGAGCTGTTGTAGGTAGGTAAATAGTACCTGGAGGTTACGCTGTTGTAGGTAGGTAAATAGTACCTGGAGGTTACAGCTGTTGTAGGTAGGTAAATAGTACCTGGAGGTTCGCTGTTGTAGGTAGGTAAATAGTACCTGGAGGTTACAGCTGTTGTAGGTAGGTAAATAGCACCTGGAGGTTAGCTGTTGTAGGTAGGTAAATAGTACCTGGAGGTTCACGGCTGTTGTAGGTAGGTAAATAGTACCTGGAGGTTACACTGTTGTAGGTAGGTAAATAGTACCTGGAGGTTACACTGTTGTAGGTAGGTAAATAGTACCTGGAGGTTACAGCTGTTGTAGGTAGGTAAATAGTACCTGGAGGTTACAGCTGTTGTAGGTAGGTAAATAGTACCTGGAGGTTACGCTGTTGGAGGTAGGTAAATAGCACCTGGAGGTTACGCTGTTGTAGGTAGGTAAATAGTACCTGGAGGTTACGCTGTTGTAGGTAGGTAAATAGTACCTGGAGGTTACAGCTGTTGTAGGTAGGTAAATAGTACCTGGAGGTTACGCTGTTGTAGGTAGGTAAATAGTACCTGGAGGTTACGCTGTTGGAGGTAGGTAAATAGTACCTGGAGGTTACGCTGTTGTAGGTAGGTAAATAGTACCTGGAGGTTACGCTGTTGTAGGTAGGTAAATAGCACCTGGAGGTTACGCTGTTGTAGGTAGGTAAATAGCACCTGGAGGTTACGCTGTTGGAGGTAGGTAAATAGTACCTGGAGGTTACGCTGTTGGAGGTAGGTAAATAGTACCTGGAGGTTACGCTGTTGTAGGTAGGTAAATAGTACCTGGAGGTTACGCTGTTGTAGGTAGGTAACACTCCAGTTTTGCAGTGTGGCATGTTTCACATGATTAACTTGATAAATACACTTACCAATGTAAACTAGTTGAAAGGACATTAGTATGTGCTGCAGACAAGTGTGTTGACAGGATCAGCCATGCTGTCATCAGAATCCGACTATACGGGGAGGACATAGATGGATATTTTTCTGTTGTCATTCCATAGAACGCCAACTTCTTATCATCAGTGGCATTCCCCTAAAGGCTTCTCATATCACCCTTATACTTGATGTCCTCAAACAGAAGTTGTGAGTGTGCACGTATACACGCACGTACACATACATACGCTCAGGGTCGGATCCAGAATTCTGGTGGGGCAAGATGCAGGGATGTCCTTACTGATCACCTGTCCCACCTATGTCCCACCTATGGGATCGCCTGTCCCACCTATGGGATCGTCGCCTGTCCCACCTATGGGATCGCCTGTCCCCCACAGACAGAGTAGTTGTTCCTGGAATGCATCCAGCTCTGTGCCAGCAGTTGGTCCAGTTGTTGTGTTTGAAGACATGTAAAGTGGGATGTCTTCCTCCACCAGGCATCACAGAGGCCACGTAAAGTGGGATGTCTTCCTCCGCCAGGCATCACAGAGGCCATGTAAAGTGGGATGTCTTCCTCCACCAGGCATCACAGAGGCCACGTAAAGTGGGATGTCTTCCTCCACCAGGCATCACAGAGGCCACGTAAAGTGGGATGTCTTCCTCCACCAGGCATCACAGAGGCCCGCGTACAAGTGGGATGTCTTCCTCCACCAGGCATCACAGAGGCCCGTAAAGTGGGATGTCTTCCTCCACCAGGCATCACAGAGGCCACGCATCCAAGTGGGATGTCTTCCTCCTCCGCCAGGCATCACAGAGGCCACGTAAAGTGGGACGTCTTCCTCCGCCAGGCATCACAGAGGCCACGTAAAGTGGGATGTCTTCCTCCACCAGGCATCACAGAGGCCACGTCAAGTGGGATGTCTTCCTCCGCCAGGCATCACAGAGGCCACGTAAAGTGGGATGTCTTCCTCCGCCAGGCATCACAGAGGCCATGTTGGGCAAAAAGAGGTGCTGAAGACACTATCTTGTTCGTCATTTATTGCCAGTGTGGATTTCGTTAGTGAGAGAACTGTGCTGTATGTAATGCAGGATAAGAAAATAAATAGACAACATACTGTAGACATCATGTAATATTTGTTTGACATTACTTATGGATCCTGCCATAAACTGTAATCACATACTTTCAGTTCTCTTCAATTTTTACCACTCATTTCTGATTCAGGGGCTGCGTCGCTGTCAGGCAGCGTGACACGGACAATTTCAACAGCTGTGATTGTGTTTGAGGTGACTGGGCAGATCAGCCATGTGCTCCCTGCAGTGGTAAGTTGAGTCTCGGTTCCACATTCCGTGTGTCATACTGGTTAACATGCAGGTACTTTCATCCCAGTGTTTCTTATAATTAAATATGTCAACATGAGTCGAATGTCAGTGTCTCAGCCTGTCCAGTTTAACCGGTGAGCCAGTTTCCTCAATGTCAAACAATGCAGCTGACCAGCTTCTGAAGCAGACAGACCCATGAAGACCCGGGTTAGAATATTGATCTTCAGTAATAACCCATGCTTGTAAGAGGCGACTAACGGGATCGGGTGGTCAGGCTCGCTGGCTTGGTTGACACATGTCATCGGTTCCCAATTGCGTTGATCACTGGATAGTCTGGTGCAGGCACGATTATTTACAGACCGATGCCATATAGCTGGAATATTGCTGAGTATGGCGTAAAATTAAACTCACTCACTCACTCACTCTGAAGCAGAGAGAATAGTGATGTCATTTGATTGTGTTGGTTTCGTCAATTTTGGATGGTAATGGTGACCCTGATCACAGCAGATGAAACCTTTCCCCATGACACCTGACTTTTCTGAGATCAAACTCATCATGACATACTTCTGGTGAATATAGCTCAATTACCAGCACAAAAGTTTGACAATGTTTGTGGTATTGTGTCCAAACTGCTATAAATTCCCATTAGGAGATAAACATCATGTGTTATTGAGTATTTGAAGCATGGGAATTGAAGCCGGAGGTTTCAAATGAAATATTCCAGTGCTTCAAATACTCAATAACACCCGGAAATTGGCCACCACATGATGTTTATCGACATTGTGAACACAAAAGTAAACCAAAAGGCCCACATGGGTTTTACTGTCGGAACTCCTTGACAATGACATCGAGTACAGGTACAGCATTGAAGTGTCATCAGCTGACCGTTTCAGCTGGTTCATTTGTGACGTCATTCCGACTTTATGTCACAATATGATTTGAATGACGTCACCACTGTTGACAACGCAACAATACAATGGTGTGTGTGATGTTTGTAAGTAGTAATACGCAGCGAATAGTCTTGCAATTTCCGGTAATTGAATACCATTCGATCACGTTTTCAACCAATCAGATTAAAGAACATGGTGACTTTTGGTTTACAATTCTTATTAAAATCCCTGGTAGTGAGTATTATGTAACATTTTCACAAAAAAATTAAACAGGTAGATCAACTAGAGTGAGACTAAACTGTCTCACTGTACGTGACATTGCTGCTTGTGTCCGGTGGTGACAAGTTCATCCCCAGTAGACTTCCTCCAGCTGTGGGGCGGTGGGGTAGCCTAGTGGTTAAAGCGTTGGCTCGTCACGCCGAAGACCCGATTCCCCACATGGGCACAATGTGTGAAGCCCATTTCTGGTGTCCCCCGCCGTGATATTGCTGGAATATTACTAAAAGCAGCGTAAATATAAACTCAGTCAGTCAGTCCTCCAGCTGTGTTGAGGAATCTGTAACCTCTGTGTTGTGTTTCAGTTGTCGGTGCTGATTGCAAATGCTGTGGCCAACCTGTTTGAGCCATCCTTCTACGACAGCATCATCCGTCTGAAGAGACTGCCGTACCTGCCAGACATCGTGTCCAGCAAGTCAAGGTGCGGGGGAATATCTAACACTCTTCCACGTAGACACGATAGGGGGTTCCTTGTTGGAGAACGTACCCAAATCATCATGCCAGTGGGGCGGTGGGGTAGCCTAGTGGTTAAAGCGTTCACTCGTCATGCCGAATGCCCGGGTTCGAATCCCCACATGGGTACAATGTGTGAAGCCCATTTCTGGTGTCCCCCACCGTAATATTGCTTGAATATTGCTAAAAGCAGCATAAAACCCAACTCACTCTCGCATCATGCCAGTCTCTAGTATCTGAGGTTGTTTCATGTTCACAGAGAGCGTCCCCACTTTCTAATGTCGTGAATGTAATGAGTGGTCAACATGGCTGAAAGTATGTTGCTTATGTTAATTTTGAACCTGAGTCACGTACAGAGCATAATAAGAGTCATTCCACAGAAATATCGGGGTCACCCTACAAGGGAAACACTTATAAGAATTCATCAAAAGACGAATCTGTCCTTGTAATATTAGCCTGTTTTTAACACATTCACTGTCAACTAATTTCACAATGTTATGATGCTTTCCACTGTTTGCAATGTCCATACCTTGCCTGTCATTACAATGTATACGGGCCAGAGGCCTTATGTACAATAAACCATCTTGATCTTGAAAAAAACAACATGAGTCGGCTAGTCTGAGACTCATGTAAGTCTGTAAGGACCTGTTATATTTCCTCGTAAGCTGCAGTTTTCATCTTATGCCAAATTACTATTATAGTGAATCATCTGCTGATATAAAAAATATTCTGGAGGCAGTTAGCTGTGAAGAGTTGCACCCCTTGAGCCTGCCAGGAACCTATGATTGTGGTTAGCCCTAGATGTTTCTGTCAGTACGTATCCACGCTGGTGGGTTTCAACAAGTTGTAAATGTCTGACTTTCTTCACACTCAAAGCTGACCCACCGTGATAATACTGCCCACTTCCATGTTTTTATTTGGTTATCAACCATATAAGTGCCTGTACTTACTTTCAGCACCTGGAATGTGTTTGTGGAGGACTTTATGGTGAAGGACATCGGCTACATTGCCTTCAACTCCACCTACGGTGATCTCCATCGACTTATGTCAACCACATTCTTCAGGTGCTACCCCCTTGTGGACTCCCCAGGTGTGTTATATACCTCCTTATATACCTATTGTACGACAGACCGACCCTTCAGAGACTTACCAGTTAAGTTTTATACCTCCTCTACTACAGATTAGGTGTGTTATATACCTCCTTATATACCTATTGTACGACAGACCGACCCTTCAGAGACTTACCAGTTAAGTTATATACCTCCTCTACTACAGACCAGGTGTGTTTTATACCTCCTTATATACCTATTGTACGACAGACCGACCCTTTAGAGACTTACCAGTTAAGTTATATACCTCCCCTACTACAGATTAGGTGTGTTATATACCTCCTTATATACCTATTGTATGACAGACCGACCCTTCAGAGACTTACCAGTTAAGTTATATACCTCCTCTACTACAGACCAGGTGTGCTATAAACCCTCAAGAGACTCACCAGTTAAGTTATATCCCTACTCTACCTAAGTACAGTCAAACACCGTTGTGTCGAACTCTGATAACTCGATATCTCGGTTGTCTGGATATCATTATTCAAGCTCTTTTAACTCAGTACAGATGTCTCGATATTTCGGATATCTAGACATAATTTCATGGTGCCAACAAGCAACATTACAGTTTTAACTCGATATTTGCAAAGAAACTCGATATTCACCTACCTTTCATGAGCAAGTATCCCTCTGAACTGAGGACGTTTACACACAGTGCGACATGAATCAAAGGGATGCGGTAATGTAAACTAATCAGGGCTAATTGAGTTGAAGCTGTCACTTGTTTGTTATTTAATATTATTATTAGGATTGATTAAGAAGGATTTAATTAGGAAGTACTCACTGTTACGACTATACACTACTGATAACGGATTATAGTTTCAAATCAAAACATACTGAGAAGCATTTTGTTTTCTTTCATAGTGATATGTGATGATGTCTCGAAGTTCGGATAACCGCTATTTTTTCTTGGTACCATGAATATCGAGACAACGGTGCTTGACTGTAGTAGAATGTAGTAGACTGTAGTTGTAAGTATGATCCGTGTACCCTCTCCCTCCTCCTCCAGACTCCATGGTGCTCCTGGGCTCCATACAGCGCTATGAGCTTGAGCGGATGCTATTGCTTCACCTCAGCTACGACCAGACATACAGCACCGACCCCCTGGACGACCTGGAGTCCGGTCGCTCCTCACCATCAATGGCCTCCCTGGCCGTCATACCTGATGCAGACCTCCCACCTCGACCTCGGTTTGTAGTGACCAAAGTGGATGACCCTCCACCAGTACCTCCATCCAACGGGAATGACATCCAGATGAATATGCTGACAGTGGTGAGCAGTTGGAGGTTGGCACTCCCTTGCTTGGCGATGTATGTTTGGTTAATGTTAAACGTCTCCCAAGGCTAGAAGAACTTTAGGAGTTTTAATGGATCATGTTATCAGAGTTTGTGGCGTACATGTACAGTTGGTTTGTGAAAAGCTGCTCCAGCCTTCACTGACTGTCTGGATTAATTTTGTTTTGGACAAGTAAACTTTTCATTAACAGCAATATTCATTCACTGGTTAATTCTTCCACGGTATCACCTCAGCTATGGTGACTTAGCCATTCCAAGCCTCTTCAGTGTTACCCCAGACAACGTCAGTTACCATATTTTAACATTGACTTATGATCTTTATGATCCAAGGCTCATGTTGTGAGACCCTGATTAATGCAGGATTTGTAATGCATGAAGCATGGAAAATTATACAACAGATAATACATCTGTTAGATTGACATCCCAATCAGTCAAATGTGAGGTGAGGTGAAATTGGGTTTTATGTCGTGCTTGAGAATATTTCACTCATATGACGACGTGTATGTATGTGCGGCTGCTTGTACTAGCCCAGACTTAAGCTGGTTTTATAGTGCTAGCCCACTGAGATACCATGCCGCAGTGAAGCAGGAATACCCCACTCAGACATTAATGCCGAGCGCCAGGCAGGGACCAACAAGTACCATATTGTAACGTCTTTTGGTATGATGCGGTCGGAGATCGAACCCAAGACCTTCCGATCAGTCAAATGTACCTTCAGAGGCACTTCTGTGGTATTTTCAACTGTACTTTCGTTTATCATAAAAACTGCTTTGGCGTTTTTCTTGCCAGCCTTCCAACGACTCCCTCAACATGCACAGTGCTGACAACTACAACACTTACCAAGGCCCTCTCCGCTCCATTCTGAAGAAGTCTTCCTCGTCTCAAGACTTGCCGCGGAGAGCCAGCACGGGGGACCTCAAAGGTGAGATTGTCATGCCATGTGTCCACTCACCATTACGATGTTATTTCCCGGAACTGAACTTCACTACTGTTTGTAGCTGTTTGACTGTCACCTGTTTGTCTATTTCAGGTGATGTTAATAAATTTTACAGAAAACTTGCCAATCAAAGAAAAGAAAGTATTGTTGAAGACAGACCATTTACAATACAGGTCAGTAAACAGGAGAATCTGTTTGTTTACATAATGTACATCATGATGTTTGGGACTAGAATGTTGACATGGTTGACATGTCCGCAGAACAAGTACAGGAGCATGATACATGGCCACTTCATCATGGGTTGCAATAATCATCAATATCAAACCTCACCTCACCTCACCTCATTCCCATCCACTCCACCTCGCCTCACCCACCTCACCTCACCTCACATTCCTGCACATCACTTCACCTCACCTCACCTCATTTCCACCCACCGCAGAGAGGTGGGGTAACCTAATGGTTAAAACATTCGCTTGGCCTGCTAAAAACACCGGGGTTCAATTCCCCATATGTGTACAATGTGTGAAGCCCATTCCTGGTGTCCCACGCTGTGATATTGCTGGAATGTTGCTAAAAGTGGCAAAAAATTAAACTCACTCACTTCACCCTGCAATTGTTGATGCAACATTAGGCATTTATAACTCCTATGACTTTCTCACAGTTGCCTCCCTTAGCTGCCAGGATCTGCTGAATATAAATTGTAATCTGAGATTCTCTCTCTTGTCCATTCTGGCTCTGTGTTCCGTGGAAGGCAGTAGACCTGCTGATCTGTTGTCTACACTTGAGCGTGAACCAATTCCTGTGAAGCACCACTATACCTTTGTGTCTAAGTGATTTGAATTTATTTCCAGAAGGGCAGTCTTCACAGTCTGTGTAAGAAGGTCAAGCTGGTAAGTTAGACTCTACATGTTGTTACAAAGTGTGACGTGCCTGAATGATTTACTCTGCCTGGATTCATGGCATTGATGGCAGTGATGTCAGTGTCCTATGTTTTTGGATTATCACCAGTTGTGGCTTGCTAGTACATGTTTCTATCCTCAGTTTTTAATAATCCAGTCTTATCACCAGTTGTTGCTTGCTAGTTTTTAATCATCGTTCAGTTTGATCGTCCAGTTGAGATGTAGCCTGCTAGTATGTCATGTTTTTCATAATCCATTTTTATCACCAGTTGTTGCTTGGTAGTGTTGACCTCAGTTGAGATGTAGCCTGCTAGTCCACCCTGCAGCATGCTTGAGTGGTTGTATTTTGTTTTTCCAATTTTAGCCCCCAGAGCCCATGAAGGTGAAAAACCTGCCCCAAGAAGAGGTAAGATTATTCTCCAGCCAGGATGACCTCTGTCTTCTTGTTTGGGGGGTGAAAATGAAAGTCTAAAGGCTACAATTCTACCAGTGGTGACCATAAAGTATTTTTGAAGCCTCACACTTACAAATTCCTTTGAATGTCATTAAGAAGTGATGCACATGAAAGGGGAAAATATTCGTAAATTGGAATATTAGGAACACGACATTTCGGAGTATATTCTGACTCCTTCATCAGGGGAATGATAGCTTGGAAGCAGATAGAATTTCATTCAGAATAACTTTTCCAAGAACTATTTTGGTATATAAGCTTCCATTGTGTACGATTCCCTTGTCCAAACCAGACATGTTCTGCAGATAAAGTTTAAATGAACTTCAACTCTATGATTGCCCAGCCATTTGATATGTGGTAATGTACCATGATATTATTTGCATTGTCTCTGCCTGTAAACGTTTTACACTGTGTATGCAAATCTCCCACAATGTTTTATTTGCTGTGTTGCATGTGGACTGTCTGATACTGAAACATGCTATATTATTGGCCAGTATCATGATCAAGGTATTGGTAAGGTATTTTACTTGTAGGATTTTGTGAACGGCTATGTCAGGCAGGTTTTCAATCTCTATCATGACGGGCATCAGGGTAGCCCAGTGGTAAAGTAGTGCTTGGCACACCCAAGGTCTGGGTTTGAATCCTCATGTGGGTACATTGTATGAAGACCATATTTGATGGATCAATGCTCAAATTTAATCATACTGACTCAGTTTGTTTTAATGGTGTATGTGGTAGATTGGGGAAGTGGCTTTTAAGTTGTTTAACAGGATTGGGTGTTCAGGCTTGCCGACGTGGTTGATGCACGACATCATATTCCAAATGCTTAGATGGATGCTCACTATGTCAATCACTAGGTTGTGTCATCCAGATTTAAACCACAACAAACAAAACTGAAGGCTCATTTGATTTTTCAGTGGAATGTTGTTTATTTATTGACAGCAAGAGGCATGGGAACAGTCACAGCTACTTCAAGGCATACAGTGGGAGGGCGTACAAATAGACCCCGCCCCCTTCCAGCTGGTAGAGAGGACCTCCCTGCATAAGGTAAGAGAAGTACAGTGGGAGGGCGTACAAATAGACCCCGCCCCCTTCCAGCTGGTAGAGAGGACCTCCCTGCATAAGGTAAGAGAAGTACAGTGGGAGGGCGTACAAATAGACCCCGCCCCCTTCCAGCTGGTAGAGAGGACCTCCCTGCATAAGGTAAGAGAAGTACAGTGGGAGGGTGTACAAATAGACCCCGCCCCCTTCCAGCTGGTAGAGAGGACCTCCCTGCATAAGGTAAGAGAAGTACTTCAAGGCATACAAATGCATCTCTACTAACACTGAGACTTTGTATTTGAATATTTCAAGCGGCCTAACATTGTGTGGAAAGAGCTGATATTCATAAAGAGACACTGGTTTTTTGTTTCAGGTGCACTCCCTGTTTTCTCTGCTGGGGCTGAACCATGCGTATGTGACCAACACTGGCAAGCTGGTGGGTGTGGTCGGACTCAAACAGGTGAGCTTCACTGCAGACTTTGATGTCATACAGGGTACTTGTGAAAATGTCCATTTGCTGGATGTTGAGCTGAAGGGATTCCACGATGCTGGCACTATCCAGCATGCTCTTATAACCAGGACAACCGGCAGTACTCCCTGAACCGGTTTTGGTTTTTAGTTGTGGAAATTGTTTAGGTCCTAGATACTTTCTTGGTTTCATTTCGTAAACTGAAACATATCTTGGGGACTTGTCTTTAGGGACCGTTCATAATTTATGGAAAGTGGGGGATGATTTTTATGCAGAAGCATGTGCAATGTGAATGAACCCCTCCCCCAAAAATTTGCATACAGAGTAAGTGACACCCCCCTAATTTTTAAGCATAATTTTTAGATATATTCATGTACGAAATTGCTGACAACTCCACCCACCCCCACCCGAACTAAATGGGGCTGCCCCCCCTTAATATCATCATCAACTAAACCAAACCCCCACCTCACAGCCATAAATTATGATCGGTTCCTGTGCTGGCAAACAGTTTAGTTGATGGTGATGACAACTTGTTGAGAACACCACAAGTAGTATTCTCTAGGATCACTTCTGTCTGCAAATTGTATGAATGCGCTCAGTTGTGTACATTGTGTCAGATGTTTTGCGGGGAGTATTAAAATGGACTCCGTCCGTGCGTCCGTCTGTCTGTCCGTGCACATTTGTCTTTTCCGGAGCAGAACTCTAAAAGTGTTCAATATTTCTTCACCAAACTTGGCACATAGATAGATCTGGTGGTGTTCTGGTGCCTTTTGGTAGTTTTGGAATTCTGAATAAAATATTTTTGGCGTTTCCATGGCAACAAGTTTGACATAGACTGAAATTGGTGATAGTGCTCCTTTCTGGAGCAGAACTTTAAAAACCTTTCAATGCTCTCCTTCCACTTTTCTATATACACACCTAAATATTTGACATAATCATAACTCGTAGACATAATCCTGAAGCGTATTTTGCCATGGCAGGGGATATTGATGGCTTTGTCTTCTTGTTGTAGTTGCGAGTTGCCGTCCAAGGCCACCTGGATGCCCAGGCTGCGAACAAGGATGTAGAGCAGAGTGATGAGGAGCTGGATGACCCAGCCGAGCTGGAGGTCGAACACCCGGGACCTGAAGAACCCTACACCCTGGTCACTAACGAGCAGGACAGTATCGAGAAGACAGTGTAGGGAGCCGGTTGGGGCACTAATGAGCAGGACAGTATCGACAAGACAGTGTAGGGAGCCGTTTGGAGCATGTACGCACTCATTACTTGTGATAGGGATAGGACCTGCTGCTGCTGCTTGGCCAGAATCTTCCTACAGTGTCAAACTCATCATTCTTAATTCATTGACAAGTGAAGACAGTACTTAGTGTGCTACATAGTTAGTTTCTACTTTCATAAAAGAAATGACAGATAAAAAGTATTTGAAAATAAAGTCATCATGACTTTTGTGTTAGAAGAAGCTGCTGAAAAAGACTCCATCTTGTCAAGTCTGTACTTTTGGGACCAACATGTCTTGACCTTACAAGCAGAGGATAATTTAACCATGGTCTCACCTACTATACTTGGCAATATTTGGGAGTTTGTGCTGCTTTGCTCAAACACCACTGCAGAGATGTGAGAACGGATGTCTCCGAATATGCTCAGCTCATAGGCTCAAGTTGTACAGACTACATCTGATGGATACCACGGCACTCCACACCAAGCCTCACGAGCACTCTACCAGGCCACAGCGACTGTTTCTCAGATTCACAAGACAGAGCTGTGTGTCATTCACTGCCATGGTTGTCGTAACGATACTGCAAAGCATTCGTATAGTTTTTACTTATCCTGACAGGCAGCAGCAAATAATATGATTGTAATGAGAATACCACGAATCACAGAAACACGCAGTCTGAATTGCACCGAGCCTAAAACTTTTGAAAGACCACAACTAACTATAACTGAATAACAAACACCCTTCCATAGTTGATTCAACCACTCTCAAAATGACTTCCAAAAAATGTAATTTCTTAAGTAAAATTGATATTTTTATACTTATCCTGACTCATGATATTTTGCTTATTTCCCTTTCCTTTTCTAATGGTAGTGGAACACTTGAATCCCTTGAAGTTCCCGAAGCAGACGTAAACATACACTCACCCACGAGTTACCTCCCTTTTCCCGCGCAAACAGTCATGTGACCAGCCTTACTTGTCACTCTCACCCTTTTCTCCCAAGCGGATGGTTGGGCGAGCACTAGAGTCCCTTATATGGCTTTATATCCTTTTTATTTAGGTCCTATTTTTCAAAATTACGCTGTATATGGATATGGCAATAATTACTATGTATTATATGTAAAAAAAAATTGTAGGAATTATTTGTATTTGTGTCTTTATTCCATCGTTATGTTTGTTTACATTTCATGAAATCGTGCAGTGTTTGCAGGCACAGGTTATCCATGGCTGATCCTCACCCCCAGTGCCCTTCGTGCATAAAACCATGTTCTTCCAGCTTGCGCTGTACTTATTGTGTTGATTTATCAAATCTACAATTTAATCAATATTTGTCTTATGTCTATAGACGTGCCATGGATCGGGTGAGGAAGTCATCTCAAGGCACGGCTGATAAAACAGGAGATCAGCCTGCAAACCGTATGTTGCTTGCTACTGCTGAAGGTCATAATACTGGTGCTATGTTTAGTGCCCAGTCTGCTGGTACGGGGGCCAAGAAGAGATCGACTACAACGCAGTTGACTCCATCTCAGGCTAAGAAAAAGACGTCATCTTCTTCTACATCGCAGAAGAAAGCATCTGTTACCAGATCGGATGGTAAATCTACGCATTCTAGTAAATCAACGCAGCAGAAATCCTCCAACGAAGAGATATTACCTCCACATGAAGTAGACGTCTTTGATGACCCCCCGCTACTTTACCCGAAGTACCTATGAGATCAGCGACTCAATCGACTTCAGCAACTACACAGCAACGGTCACAGCAGGCCAACTGTTTGACGAACTACCACCTACTTCTCAACGGAGTGAGGTCGAGGCGCAGAACTCATCAGCGTTCGCGAACGCTTCGTCTACACCGCAGCAGCTTCAACCAATGCAGAACTTTGACCCGAATTTATGAAACAATTCACCAACCAGATGATGGCCATGATAGAACGTAGGTTCCAGGAAGAAGCGAAGCCTCTCATCTACCGACACCGTGTGTGCAAACCTACAAACCTGCGCGAACCTACTCCTCATAGAACTACGTCTCAAGACTACGTTGGCAAACGTACACCTTTGCGATGGTCTCCACAGTCGGACGACTCTGTCATCTTGGAAGAGGATAGAAGAGATGAGATGCCTACTCACAGTTCTACATCTGCGAACCCTCAACGTTCGAGAACATTGAAGGATCCATCTCCTACACCTAGCCGCTCTAGATCGAGATCTCATATCTCTCACAGACGTTCACGAAGTCACTCATCATGAGACAGAGGTTCGCGAAGAGATGTATCTACAGATAGAGGTTCGCGAAGACAGCACTCTCAAGATAGACGTTCGCATAGGGTTCGCGAAAGGATGATGAAGGTTCGAGAAGGGATACAGGTTCGCAGATGGATGAGTCGCAGAGACCTAGCACTAATATTCAGGAGACTTTGGGAAGACAAAGTCTGGTTGCTGATGCAGACTCAGAGGTTACAGCGTGGGTTGCCAACGGGTTGAACTTGGAGTCTCCTTCTAAGGATGAAGATGAAGTCTACACTTATAGGATGCGTAACGACAACTTTGACTCCGTCACTATCCCTCCGATTGAACCTATATCCAAGGTAACCTCTAACCTACGCACAGCTTTCGCGAAAGCGTCCAAGTACCAGAGTCAGCACCTACCATCATTTAATGTGAAGAGATTCCCCTTACATCATATGGATCCATTTACAAAGGCGCCTAAATGGGATGATAACATAAAGTTAGTCAACGACTCCCGAAACAAGATGTATAAAGTGGAGGCAAAAAGTTATCTCAAATTGATACTGCTACAAGGGGTCCTTCTTCGGGTTGGCCAGGTCCAGAGCCATCAATGAAGCATTGATCAATAAATTCCAGAACTCAAGTTTGGAAGAGGATAGAATGATTTATTCGGCCCTCATAACACAGAAGAAGGACCAATACTTTTTATCGGACCATCTGGCATCTATATCTGCAGCTCTCACTTTACTACACAGACAAGGGCTACTTGCATCCTGTTCATGGAGTGAACACCAAACCGCTACTGAGAGCTCCATGGGAGGCGCCTACTATCTTTGGAGGACAAATAGATGAGGAAGCTACGCACAACTCTAGAGAAGTGATGATGATAAAATCCATAGATACTCTGGCCAACATCATCCGTCATACTTCGCAAAGGTATAACAGCAAGTCCAAATATTCTGGCATACAGAAGGCAAAGTACCCCAGCCTCAGAGGCGGCAAAGGATCTTTTCGTCACCCATCCGGAAATGACAGAGGAAAGTCAGGGCGAGGCCGCACTCCCAGAGGAACTAGACATTGATATCAAGGTTCGGAACGACTGGAGTCTTCCACACCCAGCCGTTCCTATAAAACTGTCGACAGTGGGTGGACGTCTACAAAGGTACTGGAAGAATTGGGGAATACTTGAGGACGACTACGTCTCCGAAGTACTAAGAGAAGGATACAGAGTACAACTCAAGGCCATACCTCCGCTAACCCTCAGCCCGATGGTCTTCGACTATGCAGAGGAGCAGGCAGACAAACTACAAGAAGCCATCAACTCACTACTTATGAAAGAGGCGGTAGAGATAATAGATCAGCATCATCTCACTCCAGGCTTCTATTCCCCAACTTTTTCTAGTACCCAATAAGAACTCAAGGAGAAGTTCAGTCTGATTTACAACATGCACAAATTCAACAAAGACTACCTACTGAAACCAGAGAGGTTCAGAATTATCCACCTACCTCAACTCAAACAACTCGTCCGTCCAGCATAGACCTGCAGGATGCGTATCTACACATCCCTATACGTCCGGAATCAAGAAAGCATCTACGATTCCTATTCAGAGGGCAGCACTTCCAATGTAACGTCCTACCGTTTAGAATATCTTCGGCCCCGTTGCTATTCACACGAGTAACCAAGCCTATAGTCGAATACAGTGTACTCTGTCAATACCGGCATCAGTCGGGACCAAATACAAATGCCGGTTTTGACAGAGTGCCGGTTTAGCTAGGTTCGCTTATGACGCCTGCACACACGGAAGTTCAGCATTAACAAGATGTTTGAATAAGAAACAAGGCAGTGTCTGAATGCACGTTCATGTTGATTCATTCAAATAAAAATGTCTGAAAACTCTTATTAAATTTCAACTGATCATATATTATCGGCAGAATTAAAATTATAAACTATTTTTCGCAATGTTATTGAAAACAACGATTCTTGTTTATGCTTCGGCAGCGGGTCTACAATAGCATTGTCAAAGAGCAAAGTAACGATGTTTCAAACATCGAGGAAATCATTAAATAAATTGAAATCAACAATAACATTCATAAAAGTTGTCAAACGCACATATAAAATTACTATTTCCATCTTTTGTGCGATCATGTAATGTAAGTCAAGTCACTGACAAGTTACATCTCGCTTCGCCGCCTCCGTCTTGACGCCCGGACACGATGCTTAATGCGAAAATATATACATGAAGCATTTTTGTCTTAGGCCATAACCTAGCACGATATGTCCAGTAAGTTCCATAATTTACGTATAGGTAGCGATGTCTTGCTTAATATGTTCAGAATACATGTAGAATTATTTTACCCAAAAACCTTCGTCTAAAAGTTTTCGTTGACGGTATCCATTTCCATAATATGATTGGCTGCTTAGGTCACGTGTCTGATTTTGACCAATCACGACCCTTATAAGCAGACTGTAGTGAAAAAGCGTCGTAAGAAACCAATCTTTATCCAATAAAATCGCTTCTTACTGACTGACTGACTGAGTTTAGTTTTTACGCCGCTTTTAGCAATATTCCAGCAATATCACGGCGGGGGACACCAGAAATGGGCTTAACACGCTTCTTACAAATGTGAAAATACTCTCGGCAAGAGTACAGTGATATTGTTGATGTTCAGAGCTTTCGAACGATACCCGCCATCAAACGATTCGCTTCTATGTAAGTGACATGTGCCACTCACTAATTAACAAGAAACTGATTGACACTTCCCGTTTCTGAATAATCTCGGGAGTCAATACCCGCGAATCAACAAAATGTAAACACTTGCTTGTTTTTATAGTCACACTGCCCACTACATGTATTAATTACTCTAGGTAAGTGTTACGTACCACTCACTGATTAACAGGATGCTGATTAACACTTCCCGTTTCTGAATAATCTCGGGAGTCACAGCGAATTGTGTTGTTACATCATTTGGACCTAATCTCATCAAAGGGTTACGCCGTCTTTCATGTGCCGGTTTTTACAGATTCATTTTCATAACAACTTGTTCGTTGGGACTGAAAAACAATGCCGATATCCTGAATAGACAGATGCCGATGTTTACAGATGTTTCTAAATGATAATTACGTGCATTTCTGCCGGGACTGAAACTTTGTGCCGATGTAGACAGAGTGCCGGTGTTTACAGAGGCCGGTATTGACAGAGTCCACTGTATCTACATCGTCGAGGTCTACGCAATGCCTTCTACTTGGACGATGGAATTCAGGTTCACCAAGATGCCAGTCAACTAGGATGGCTGGTGAACCTTATGAAGTCAGAGTTGGAACCAAAACAAGATCTACATTTTCTGGGGATAAGGTTTATCACAACACAGAATCGTATTGTCATCCCAGAAGATCGTTGGGCCAAGATAGAAGCCATGATTCCACCAGCCGTCATCTCTCCGTTAACACTACGATCATGGCAAGTTCTATTCGGTCTACTAACCTTGGCGCAGGACTTGACTCGCACAGGAAGGTTACAGCTAAGACCGCTGCAACGGTTCCTGACAAAACATCTAGACAGCATCGACCCTATCTTGCTGCCAGACAACCTCAAGAGGTATCTACTGTGGTGGACGCACAGGAGGGACCTATTTACAAGAGCCGGCCTTCAACACACATCTCTACGCAGACGCCTCGATGCAGGGTTGGGGTGCGCATCTCAACAATCAAGGT